GAATCATTTTTATACAGCAGCCACCATTTCAGTCTTGCTTTACCTGTATTATGAAAGCAGATGGTCTGCATGTCTTTTGAATATTTATAACTATCAAAAACAATCTCTTGCTATTCACCCTTAGGCTTATGAGATGTCAGGACTGTTCTGGTTGGAAAAAAAATCATCTTGGGTGTTTACAGAAAGAGGATTACATTAAGCTGAAATGACTATACATTTTCCAGTTTAATATTTGTCCATCAGCTGTTTAATCGTATTTAGATAATTGTGTAAATAAGATGTGGTAGCCCTTGCCCTCTCTGCTAGAGGAGCCTGCAAGCTTTCAACATGGGTGAGCCACCATCTTGTAGACGCTGCCTCTCTCTCCTCCCACTTCAGTTAGCCCAGACCCAAGTCCCAAGCCAGCTATGATCCTGACCTCGCAGTCCTGTTTAAAAAGCCATAGTACCAGCAGAAGGCCAGCGTGGAGACTTCAGAGACACCGGGGACACTAAGTGCCTGGCGTCTAGGAGTGTATTGTCACATGCAAATGTCGAGCAGCCGCCTACCCCTTCGAAAAGGGCCTGGCCCCCTCCTCCTCCTCCCTAGCTTGCCCTGCTTCTGGGTATTTTGGAAAACTTTTGGAATAGTGGGGGTTAACTGGTTTTTTTGACTGGAAGCTGAGCAATCAGAGATAACAGATTTTGCTGTGGTTGGTTGATTTGGCAGAAAAGCATGAACAGTTTTGGTTTAAATGATTGAATAACCTGATTAGCATTGTTTTGGGGTATTTTTTTTTGAGGGGGGTTGTTAAAGGCACAACAAAGCAATTTTAAGGGTAATCAGATCACTGCTGGGCCCCTTCTTGGTTGACAATCTTGTTCTTGAGAAGGCTGCACTTCTCCCCAACTGGTCCTGTTGGCCACTAAGATGACCAAGCTGAACAATCAAGCCGCCTTCCTTCATTTTCCAGTGTGTTACACACGTACACTAACCGCAGTGTGTGTGAACCCCTAGCAGGGGCTTGGAAGATAACATTTGGTAAAATTATGTAACCTCAACCAATGCCTTGGGTTTTTCTGTTTTTCACATTGAGAGACCTGCAGATTTTCGAGCAAAGGTTCAGAATGTTCCAACAATATGTAAGTCAGGCTTTAGAAAAATTCCACCCTTACCTATTCACAATTAGAAAGGTTATAAATAATGTATTTGGCTGAAAAGGAGGCTCAGCCTGTGGCAGATGGTATCCTTCTAGAGGGCTGGGGTTTCTGGGAAGATGGAAACAGATCGGAACTTTAGCAGACTCAGAAAGAGCCAAGCTCCTCATAGGGAGTAGACATGTGCTTTATGGATCTTAGAAAAGCTTACAACTTGGCTCCTAGGATGAGAATATTATGTCACACAGGGGTTAGGAGACCCATGGCCAGTTTCTGCCGGCTCTTAAATTGTGTCTCCCAACACTGGGCTCCTCGGCCTGTGTTTTGGTTCGTGTGCCCTGCGGCAGCATTTGAACTCACAATTTCTAGCGTCAGAGATTAGTCAGTGGGATTAATTGACTCCCAGAGTGTTGATGGTTTTTACACTAGTGGCCACAGACTGACTAGAAAACTTGCCACAGGAATTGTGTCTTTTAAAGCGCTCATATAAATAGATTCCAAGGGAGCAGAGCAGCAACCACCAGCAGCCTCGTTGGAGACATCTGTGGACTTGATTTGAAAAACCTGAAGAGGGATCTCTTGCAAATTATTAAACAAAGAAGCTAAGAAGTTGGGATTTAAAGATTCACTTGACAGTAATGCTGTTGCCTTTGACCTTGAAGGGTAAAGGGGAGGAGAATGTCCCAGTGACCCAAAGGAGTGGCTTCTTCCAGTGGTCTTGCGGCACCACTAGGTGTGTTCAGCCTTATGCTGAGCATCCAGGCTGTTTTGAGATTAAGTCTAGAAGAAATGCTCAGTGTAGGAAGTGCTAGCTGCAGTGGCTCAGCGTGCTTTAACTCGGGAAAACCTGGCAGAATCAGAGCTGTAGAGCCTGAAGGATGAACAGCTAGCTCTTAGGCAGAGATGGAGGAGCCATGGGACTACCTCGAGGTGTGAGGAGTGGGTGTGTCTTCCTGATGTTTGCTGTGAGGTGCATTCCAGCTTCACTGAGCGTCGACAGGGGGATGTCTCCACTGGTAGTGTGCTTGTTGCACAAGCGTGAAGACTGGAGATGGAGCCCCGGTACATACATAAAGAGCCTTGAGTAGCAGCTTATAATTCCAGTACTGAAGAGGGGGAACAAGAGGAGCCGTGTAACTGGCCAGCTAGTGGCTGAATCCATAAGCTCCAGATTTAGGGAGAGGCTGTCTCTGACAGTATGGAGGAGAGTGACTAGGAAAGACGTCTGACATTAACCTCTGGTTTCCACACACCCACATAAACACAAAAAGACCTCATTTTGAAAATCATATCAGTTACTCTTCTGTTATTTAAAGCATCCTAATTTTTTGGTGTTTGCACATGGGTGCGTGCATGTTTGTGTGTCAGAGGATGTGTGAGGAGGTCAGAGGACAATGTATGGGAGTCAGTTTTCTACTCTGTAAATCCTGAGGATTGAGCTCATGGAATCAGGCTTAGCAGGCCCTTTTGCCACTCTGCCATCTCAGTGGCCCCATTGAAAACATCTTTGACAGATCTGCATTATCATATAATAAATAAGGAAATGAAGGAGGAACAGTAAAGTCACTTTAGGACAGAGCCCAAAGATCAGGGTTAAGCAGGGGCGGTTGGAGCTTTGATGACAAGGCATATATGGATGCTGTTTTCCACATATGGATAATAGTGGACTGTGTAGCACTTTGACATATGAGCTCTAATTTTGTTGAAGTATTTCAGAATGGTTTGCATTCGCGTTCCCCCTTTGCTCTCACCGTTGGTCATCTCACCTACTTCCTGATAGATGACAAACACTTTGGGCCGAGGCCGCGTCTTACCCATCTTTGTGTCCTTCATACCAGCCAGTGCAGCAACAAGCAAATAATATATCGAATGAAGGAGATGAAGTAGACTGAGTGTTCATTGAAAACCTCTGCAGAATTTAGGGAGTCTGTTTGTTTCTAAAAGTAGGACCTTCCGTGCTGTGTTGTATTAACATACGAAAGTGGCAGAATGTCGAGGTAAAAACTAATAATTTTTTTAGAAATTGGGCCAGAGTGGGAGAACATCAGCTGTCACCCATCTGCAGAATCGCCATTATCTATCAGTGATCTCTGTAGTTTTGTTAGAGTCTGGCATCATTGATCCATTAGTACGGTGGAGTAAGGGAGATGAAGCCAGTGGGTTGCTAACTGTGTCAGATAGCTGTCCTCTGGCTCTGGTTTTGGCAACTTGCTAAGTGTCTTTTTGCACTGTGGACTGGGGAGGCTCTTAGTGAAATTGCAAGCTATTGGATTAATGGCAGGGCTTCACAAACACATTAAGAATGTCTTTTTAGAGAAATAAAATGTAAAAATGACTATAAAGTAGAAAGTGGTGGGGGAAGCTATCATAGTGCCTCATTGGAGAGATAGCTGTGTTTTACATAAATAATGCACCTCTGACTCCCAGTTCTTTAGAGGACCCCCAAACTTACACATTACAGGAATGTGTGTGCTCCTAAATTAACACGATGATGGATGTCAGAGTTAATAATAGCCCAAAGAGCTTTACATTTGAAGTAGCTTAAAGAAGATAATGATATAAAAATATTCTTGTCCCCAAACTGGCTTTTCTGGTTGTTCGCTGCCTCCCAACAATGGAGTCTTCTGTAAGCTGTTTCTCTGGAGACCAACCAGGTCTGAAATTTCAGCTCGTGGTTTCTACTCTCAGGACCAGGAGGCTTGGTGCTTCACTCTCACTCCAAAGATTCAATAGGGAATTAATTTAGCTACTAGACACTATTGGTGAACCAGGAATGAAGTCACAGCAATTACCGTAACCAAAAGTATCTGGAAAAATATGCTTTTGTTTACTGAAAATGTGGCTGTGTTTTTTATTTTAAACCTTAGTGGCACATTAACATGATTGTCTCCATTTTTACCTATTAGATGGCTGGCTATTGTCAATGTTTTTTTGTTTGTTTGAGTCAGGGTCTCACTATGTAGTCTGAGCTGGACTGGAACTTACAAGTTCAGGTTGCCCTAGGAGTCACAGAGATCTGCCTGCCTGTGCATCCCAAGTGCTGGAATTAAAGGTGAACACCAGTATGACCAGCTCTTCAAGGCTTTTTTTTTTTTAAGCAAGAGAAAAATGACAAGTAGACATTTATTTCTTTTTCTTTTTTTTTGTGGATGGGACTCTTAAAATGTTAATTAGCACAAAATGTATATATTTAAACATTTTCTGGTCATTTGAAATTCACAACTCAAGCTTTACTAGATAAAGCCAGCAATCAAATCTGAAGATGCTCGTCTTCTGAAAGAGGCTCTTAAGCGTGACCTCTGAGCACTGTTACCTCACCAGCAACTGAAATCCATACAGTGAACATGAAAATGTAAAAATGATTTCTCCTACTTGATAGTGCCTGGTTGTGCTGGGGGGTGTTGGTGAAATGCAGGTGTTGATGGGGGAGGTCAGAGCTGGGACTCCAAACTACATTTCAGACAAGCTTCCAGGTAGTGTCTATGGCTCTGGTGCCTGGACTATGCTTCAAGTAGCAAACATGTTGGGTTCAATCACCATGCTGCAAAATACCCTACCTTTATATAGTTCAACCCTAACATCATCTTTGTGGGTTTGGATTAATTGGGGTTAGTGCACATTTGTGAGGAATAGATGGTGTGGATGAAGATTGAATAAAGAGTGCTAGAGCAGATGCCACTGTGGAGGCTGCCACTTGCTACTTAAATAAGCATCTGATGATCTACTTAATGGATTCTAAGAAGCTGAAGCTTTGGTCCCAGTTGCTTTAGAAAAACTGAGAGCAGGTACAGCTTCCCACAGCTGAAGTTGTGGCCCCCACCTCGTGCCATGGTATATCATATGTGTTCTCTCCTCTCCACACAGAGTATGATCTCCTCCATTGTGAACAGCACGTACTATGCAAATGTCTCAGCAGCAAAATGTCAAGAATTTGGAAGGTGGTACAAACATTTCAAGAAGACAAAGGATATGATGGGTAAGCAAAAAGAAAAAAAAAAAAAGAAAAGCCCATCCCTTTGCTGTGGCGACATACCATTGCATGTCATTTGGGGGTTTATCAAAGTCACATCGAAAGCCAGATCTTTTGATTGCCCAATTAGAGATCAATTTAGAATGTTTCTTTGGGGGTGGGGGAGTGGGTATGAGTATAATGAGATAATTAAATTCAATAAATGTTTGTGTTTAAATCAGCCACACTGACTCGGTTGTCAGACATGCAGGAAATCGAGGCGTGAGGAGGAGAGCTGTCATTTTGTAACATCTCAGTGAAGACCTAACCAGGCCTTGAATAACTAATATCAGCTGTGATTTCTCACAGAGATAATCATGCTTTAAGGATTTTTGCTTTTGTTTGTAAAAAAGAGAAAGGGCTTGTTTTCACACCAGCTTTTAAACCATATTTAACTGTATTCAACTTACTGAACACTATTTGAGATGGAGTGGTTTTTATTCTCCAGGCTCCATAGATAGGCGCCTTAGTGAGCCCAATGCCTTCCTATCTGGAACAGAACCAACACTGTCATTTCTGAACTTTCAGTTCCAGCCCAGCACCCTCTCTGAACTTGCTGCATTAGGTCAACATTTGTTACATAAGACATGCATCAAGATGAGCTGAGGTGTAAAAGGACAGGTCACGGTTGCATGCTGTGGCTGAGCGTTTGGAGTCTGGCATTTTCTCTTTGTGAATCAGTTAGTGCTCATGGGAGCAAACACTATGGTTAAGGTTAATGTACCTTCTTCTTTCACATACTGTACCTTCCAAATGATACATCTTAAAATTAAACAGCAATGGGGTGTTTCATATACAAGGCGGTATGCCTTATTGTAAATCTTTGTTTATCACCATTCAGTTCATTTAATAGTAACAACAATAATAACTTTTCCTAAAGACTTAGAGACAAGAGACCCGAATTTTGAGCATGTTTTAGCTTTTAATATTTGAAGAAAGGCCATCCATCTACCAAAACGGATTCTTTGCCTTTTATAGCTTAGGGCTGTAATGAAGGCAATGCATCAATTTTTGGAATAATTGCTTGAATTACTGTTCCATGTGAATGGCCCACTGGGCTGATATCACTGGTAGAAACTGGTAGAAACTGAAGGTTTCTTCCCATTCTTAGTTATATTCTGCATATATCATGGAGTATAGCAGTTCCTCTGATTATAAAAATCTGCATATTTAATGAAAAGAGAAACGATGATTAAGATCCAGATAGATCCTATTCATGAGAAGTGTGGACATTTGAAAAGGCTTCCCTGTCCATATTACAGGCTGGTTTCAGTCTCCCTCAAGTCTCTTCTGTGTAGCAGCACAGCATTTGACATACTTAGAGCTGATTCTCAGCCAATCCACACAAGTGTTCTAGCCAAGGGAGAAGCATTCATTCTGGGTAGGTGGAAATAAATTGCAGAGTCGTGACAGCGCCCCCTCCCTGCATTGTGCTAGGACAGCTTTCTGCCCTGTCCTTAGCATCTGGTGAGAACCACACTTCTGTTAAAGACATTGGAGCCTCAGCCACACTGGCTGTGCTGACTTGCTCTACTCTTCGCCTTTGCTTTATCCTGAGAAGTATTTGCTGATATCCTTATGTGTCCGTGATTGGCCTTAAATGAAGCAAACCACATGTGACGCCAAGAGTGACAGCCAGCTGTTATACCCACCTCATTACATCCTATTATGTAAACTACTTCCTTCTTTTGCCGGGATTGCTAGAGTTAATATAGTACGGAAGTATTTGTAATTTTTTCTCTAGTCGTTTTTAAATCATAGTTTATTTATTATTTGCTTCTACTTTTGCTTATGGTTTCTCGTTGCCATTAGGCCAACAATATTCTTGAAGCCATCTTAAAAGAAACAGCTATTGCTTATAAAGCCTTCTCGAGCTTGTAACTGAGAAGCAGCTGGACCCCAAAGCAAACATATGAAATATGTATATAGTAGATTTTATGCCTTAAATTGGTGGTTTTCAACCTTCCTAATGCTACAACCCTTTAATACAGTTCCTCATGTTGTGGTGACCCCCCAACCATAAAATTATTTTTGTTGCTACTTCATAACTGTAATTTTGCTACTGTTATGAATCATAATATAAATAATTTTGGTGATAGAGGTTTGCCAAAGAGGTCTTGACCTACAGGTTGAGAACCATTGTGTTAAATCTAAGCTACATTTCAAAACAAGAGCAGGAGTGTATCATGTACTCAGAGTGTGTGGAATTGTCTGGAGGAGAACACGGCCATTGCCCGGTATATTGTGTCCTGGAATTGTCTTGGCATCATTACTCCTCAGTGTGCTCTTTGCTTGCTGATTTCTTTATATTTCTTATATTAGGACATGGTCAGAAAATTTCTTAATTGCTGTCTGAGCTTGATTTTCCTTTTTGTCTACTTTAGTTGAAATGGATAGTCTGTCTGAACTATCCCAGCAAGGCACCAACCACGTCAATTTTGGCCAGCAGCCGGTCCCAGGGAACACAGCTGAGCAGCCTCCATCCCCTGCACAGCTCTCCCATGGCAGCCAGCCCTCTGTCCGGACCCCTCTTCCGAACCTGCACCCTGGGCTTGTGTCGACACCTATCAGTCCTCAGCTGGTCAACCAGCAGCTGGTGATGGCGCAGTTGCTGAACCAGCAGTATGCAGTGAACAGACTCTTAGCCCAGCAGTCCTTAAACCAACAATACTTGAACCACCCTCCCCCTGTCAGTAGGTCTATGAATAAGCCTTTGGAGCAGCAGGTTTCGACAAACACGGAGGTTTCTTCAGAAATCTACCAGTGGGTGCGGGATGAACTGAAAAGAGCGGGGATCTCCCAGGCCGTGTTCGCACGTGTGGCTTTTAACAGAACTCAGGTCAGTTTGGTCCTGTTCTCTGCCCTCTCCTCCTTCCCCTGCTTCATCCCTGAGCCCTGTCTGTGCTGATGTTCTGCTGTTAGAGTGCCTGGCTGTCCCCTCTTTCCTTAGGCTGTGCTCCCCTTTCAAGGGCAGACTACTGGCCTTGTCTGCATTCGCTGCGTAGGATGGTAAGCTGTTAGTAACAGAAGTGAGGAAGTGTCTGGCCTACTGTTTTCTTCCATGTTTCCCTTCATATCAGACGTCAGTGCATTTGTGTGCTTTGTTGAAGTTCTTCAACTTTTTTTTGATACTATGCAGCTTACTAGGGGTTTCATGTAATTCTCCGTAGCCGTTTCTTAGCTTGCCTTCCTCCACGGTTTGTTCATGTCCTCCACCCCTCACTCTTTTGTTTCTCCCCATTTCTGTAGTAAGTTATGCATTGTACAGAGTGTGGTTTCTTTCTCTTTTCTTCCTTTTTTGTTTTTTGTTTTTTGAGACACGATTTCTTTGTATAGCCTTCCTTGAACTCACAGAGATCCGCCTGGCTCTGCCTCCTGAGTGCTGGGATTAAAGGTGTGTGCCCCACTTCACCCCCTGCCCCACCCCCACTCCCCTACCCCCCACCACCAGCACCACCACCACCTGGCTGTGGTTTTACTTTGACAGACTTCACCTCACACCAGAGAAAACATGCTTTTTTTTTTTAAAATAGGTCCCAGATAGTAAATATTTGAGCACCATAAAATCTCTTATCACACTGTATATCACTAAGCAGGACAGTGGAGGGATGGGTGTGGCTTGGTGGCATTTCACTCCTATCTATAGGACGGGGTTGTGCTGGGTTGGCCTATAGGCATTAGTTGAATACTCAGTTTAGACTTCCCGTTGAGGCCTACAAATGCCCCTGGTGTTTACACTTTTTCCCTCGTGGGTGAATTCCTGTGAGACACAATCTTCTCTGCAAGGATAGTATTTATAAAGTTATTTTTTATCTGTTAAGATGCTAAAGTAATGTATATGGTGTTTATTTTTTTTCCAAAGCACACTAAAATAAGAACAACATTTAACTTTGAGACCATAATGTCTTTTCATTTTTCTTGTTTTTACCATTTGTTTCTTTCTTTCTTTCTTTCTTTCTCTCTCTTTTTCTAAACCTGTCTCATTTTCCTTTCATCTTTAAGTTATTTTGTTTATTACATGATTATAAGAACAAAATTCTGGTACAAAAATAATTTAGTATTAATTCCTTGTTGGCAGAGTCGCTGAGCCTGGGAGAGTGCCAGCCCTGACTTGTGTTTGGCAGCCCTGGCTAGACTGAGGGTCAGAAGACGTGGTGGGGTCTCACGGCACTTTTCTCTTTGCTATTGTTCTGTTTTTAGAAGGATGGTTTTTACACTGGGTTGTCTTAGGTTAAAAGTTTGCTTTTTTCTTTTAACCAAAATCCCCATCTTTACAGCTTTAAAATGGTCTTCATTATTAGCTAGTAAATTAAATATGATCCTTTGATTCAGTTGGGGACAATAATTAAAAAAAAAATCAGTGAATCAAAAGCCACCCTCTAGAAATTCTGATTTGTGGTAGCATTCTTTATTTTGTAAATACAGTAATTACTAGTAATGCTTAGTCCTGGGCCAAAAACTGGGACTCTACATAAAAGTCGGACAATGTTTGCTGAATTCAATTAAAAGCCTTCAAAGAGAGCAGTGATGTAGACACAGATGATAGATTTACTGATAAGCCCTTGAAAAATTGAGCAAATAGTTGTATACTAAAGCACAAAGATGTGTGCTCTGTGTGTGTGAAGAAAGAAAAGGGCAGGCTCAGCACACTTCCTCACCAGGCCTGTGAGATGCTGTGTGTCTCCCTTTGGTCCTTACACAGACCATTTGTGGTTATCGGTACCATTTATGACAGTAAGTGATGTTAGTGTCTTTAAAAAGGCAGGTTCTCTGTGGTTCATATGAGGAGCAGTGAGTTCATTTTCCCGAGCATCGACAACATGGTATAGCTTCACCCAGATACCACTTTTTGAATGGACAATTCAGAAAAAGAAAAATCACTATTCAGAATTATTTGAAATTATTTGGCGATAAACAGGTTTAAAACCTTTATGTATTAGTAATTGGTTTTTCTCAGTAGAAGATATTGGGCCTTGTTTGGAACTGTCTTTATTTATTATTTATTTATTTAAGTAGAAGTTGTCTCATGTGGCTATTTAGCTGTTCATTGAGAGTCAGCTTTTGCACACGCAAGCATGTATGTATTTTTCAGTGGTCATACTTAAAAATCACATACACGCGCCCACACGCAGCTGCATTTAGTTCAGTGATTATACATTCATATGAATGCATGTAGTGTGTTTATTTCAGAGTGTATGCATTTCAATAAAAGCAGGTGCAGAGTGAGAGTAGGGTGTGAGTGTGGAGTACGAAAATACACATGCTGATGCATATGTAGCGACAAGAGCTGTGCAGTGACATGGTACAGCTCAAGTTGGTGTGCTCTTACTTCAGTTCCAACTGGGTTCAGACATGACTGTGAAATATGTGCATAAAAAGTCAGGTTCTGCTGTGGTAGAGAAAGACACTGCACCCTATGCAGAATCCGGTAAAACATGGGTGTAATAGGTGGCATGGTGAGGAACTGAGAATTATTTTAATCATTGACAGCTCTGAGTAACTTTAAAACCCTGGATTTCCTGTTTTAACTCATGAGAACCCCCTCATCATCTAGACAGGGCTTCCCAAATTTAACCATAATCCTCTCGAGACTGTCACATACGACATTAAAAAAGTCTACCATTTCTGAAAAATTATGGTGAAATTGATATAATTACTTGTTTTAAGGAATTTCCCCATTCTGAATGATGGGCATATGTTATTTAATTACTACAGAAGATAGTAGCTTTTAGCATATGCCCTTCATTCAGTTATGTCTACTTGATGTCTTTTTAATGGAAACCTATGGCCAGGAGTGAATGCCAATGCTTCTATACTTACACTGTTCAGTTCACCTCTCTGTAGTACTGTCATTTAAAGGCTGTGATACCAGAAAATGTATTTCTTTAAAAACTTACATAAACCCCGAGTTTAACTCTGATCCTGCTCAGTGGCTCTTCTCCCTTTTTCTCCTCCCTCCTGTCTTTGGCACACTTTATTTTCCAGTAAAATAAAGAATGAAGATGGATTATTCAAAACTGATAACAGTAATGGACCATCATATAATGTGTTATTGAATTTGAGTTCTGTGAATTATGTGGTGGAGAGAAATTCGCCTGCTTAAGTATAACAGAAATCGCTACTGTGTTCCTATAATTCTTCAGTGTAATTTAAGAAAAGTCCACTGTCCATATCACTATCGACTAAAAGGTAAAAAGGTACCATTATCTGGCGTGACAGCTCTCGATGAGCCTACCGAGGGACAGAGATGAATGTGTCTGCTTATAACTTGTTTGGCATGATTCCACGGGCAGGTGGAGTTTGAAAATAGTCCTTCACCTGGACATGTGATCAAGAACTCACCAAACAGGCAGGTAGCCTGGAGAATATTCTGTCTTTCTCTTTAGGCGAGAGGTTGCCTCAAATCATTTTTTTTTTCTTTCTGAGGGCTTTGAAGTTCCACGGAGCTGATAAAATCTATTTTAATCAGTGATTATGTTCAAAGAGGAGACAAGCTGGAGGCCAGGCAGGCTTTTTGTTCAGATTGGCCGTCTCTTCCACTTATCTGCTCTTTTAAAGAATTCATAATGAGCTTTTGGAAGTACTGATAATATTTATTGGAGGTTTTTTCTTTCTTTTATAATTACTAATGAATTTTACTTGTAATAACTTGTATAACTCTTGTCGGAATGTGAAAAAGAGAGGTTTAGGAATTTATCAGTAAATGAATTCTTTAATAGAAAAAAAATCACAGCTCTCACTTAACCACTAAGTAATGACAATGCAGAATAATTTTATGTTTTCATATATACAACACACATCTAATTATTTGTAAGATGTGAAGTCCTAAGGAACAACATCTTATTTCCAGTGAAATTAATATTCATGACATGTTGGGAACGCCCTTCATAACCTACAAGTTTTTGGATTCTTTTTAGAAACAAGGTTACTAATGATTTTACCTAATTTAGTTCAGTGAATTTTTTGAACACCTATGGTACACAGAATGACTATAATTTGGTACTTCACCCAATTCTGTGATGTAACAGAGTGCATGGCCTTCACATACTATTTCTTTAGTATGATGGATTGTTGGTAATGATATCTGTATCAGTCAGTCATGAAGAATTAATACAAATGACCTTGACCTTACCTGCCATCTCTGCACTATATACGAACTATATAAAACAGGGAAAGGGACTATATCTATATTGAATTCATCAGCCATTCAACAACCTGAACAGGACCAGGACATGCACTCTAGTGTCTGAGTTTTAAAGGTAGTCATTTGCATCCAGATTATTCTACATTACTCTTAAGTAATTTTTAAAATTAACACTAATCATATGGTTTCTGACAATATTTTCAGGCATTTCCACCAGGGGGCACTCCCCTCATTGAAAGCTCTGGGCCAAAAAAAAAAAAAAAAAAAAAATCTGAACCAGTAGACCGTCTATACTGGCTGCTTTAAAGCTCTTTGAATGTCTGGGTTTGGAACACTGTTGGAGAATCAGCATACTCCACGCAGGAAACTTGCATCCACTCCAAGGGGTGATTAAGTTTGGGGGAAGGGTTCTGCAGAAGCAGCGCTCCTATGCTCGAATGGAAAGGCTGCTGACTTCCCACCCAGTTTTCTCCCAAGTGATGACCTGTCTTTTAGCTGAGCCACACCCTGGCTTAGTGTTCTGTTCACAGGACTTGAGAGAAAGTGTTTCCGTGGGTTTTTTTCATGGGTTTGACTTTCTCACTATAGTTCCCTGCTATGAGATATGGAAATATTACTTTGTCTTTTTGAGATTTTTGGATGTCTATTAATTTCAAGTACTTTCGTGTAGGAAAAACCTAAATACTTACAGGGTATCTTTTGCCCTTAATTTTTTTTTTTTTAATTTACTGAATAGTTAGTAGCCTCATGCAGATTGACATTTTACAAAGCACCATGCAATGGCGACTTTTTAGTGATGGCCCCTGAGTGCCTTGGCTGAAAGGACCCATGGCCTTGGTTATGTGGTAATGTTCATCATAGCCCATCATGATCACTAGAATGTACTCTAATGTCCTTTTTTTTCATTTCTGTAGTGTAGGTCCACGTAATTGTTTTAATGTTTATCAACAACTTAAGATAAGGCATTGGGCTAAGATGACAAAACTAACTGTTGAGGATTTCATGGTGGTTTGTATATACTCAACGCTTCCATCTATTTATGCATTCTTATACAGTTGCTATATACTGCATTACCAGCCACAATTTTTTTACTGGTTTCCTTTATTTATTTATTAATTTTTATTGAGACAAAGTCTCATTGTGTAGTCTTGGCTGGCCTCAAAAGCATGCCCTTACTGTTTGAACCTTCTTAGGGATGGGATTATAGGATGTCGCCATGCCTGGTTTCCAAGGTTTTGCTGCTGTTGTTTGTTTGTTTTTAAAGTATGTATTATTTTGCAGGAGCAATGGCACAGACTTTGTGTGTGATTTGTATGTTCATTTCTATAAGACACATCAGGAAGTCTAATTAGTTGGCCCAGTACAAGTTAAACAGCTGGATGGTTGACTGCCTGTTTGAATCTGAGTTCGGTTGACAGGACGTTTTGTTTTCAGTAGACCCAGCTGCAGTTACTAGTTAGTATCATGGCCTAAAGGACAAGTGCCTCCGTTCTTAACTAATGTTTCTTATGAAAGTTCAGACATAACAGCCAGGTTTTGATTGCAGTAGACCAGTTGAGAGATTTTTTATGATTGACTCAATTCCCCATAGTTTGTTGGAGGTTTCTTTCCCCCTTAAACATCAGCTTATAAATCAAGTGATTTATTTTAAAGGGACAGTGTTTTTATCCTATCTGTACCCATGTGCTATATCAGGCAACATGATGCACTCACTTGAGACATTTGGAAGAAAACTGGGTTTAAGCTTCCAAGAAACCAAAACAATCCCCAGATGTTAAAACTTTGGGGAGTCTATTTTGCCTTCTCTCACTCAAATGAACATGTTTGACCATTTCTGCAGGATTTGGGTGGGGTGGCTTGTCAGGTTCTGCAGAAGTCTTGGTTGTGACTACTGTGAGTTGCTAATATGTCTGAGTAAAGAACGCAGAGCTTCTCGGTGTCCCACACACCACCACATGCTTGAGATTGAACACAGAGCTCCTTCGTCTTACCATGTGACCAGAGCAGGCTTGGCTGCACTTGTACTTCATACTACCCTCCCAATGCATCAGGAGGAAATCAACCATTTAAAAGAAAAGTGTTTTAGTACTACATTGTTAAGGGAAGGAAAACATCTTAAGAGAAGTTCTAGTAGTTTGTAAGTTTCTCCTGTTACTAATAGTGATCATTAGTTTTCAAGAGATTTGATGATATTCTTTTCAATATGTCAAATTCTGGGATAGAATTTTACAGTGTGGAAGAGTGGTTATGTATTTCAGGTTTGGTCTGTGTTTTCTGAAGTTCAAATTTTTCAACCTGTTACCTACTGGTATGGTATAGAACCTTTTGCAATCACTTGTGGTAATCTGTTTCCCTTAAACATCAAATTTAAGTGGCTAACTGTGACACTTTGTTATTTGAAGATTAAGGAATAACAAAATATTCTCTACATAAACAACAGTCTTAGTGCTCTTGAGTGATGTGTTGCAACTCCTTTTCTGGTATCTTCCTCAAATGCTCAGCTCATTCTTCTAGAAATGGCTTTGTGTCTGCTGTTGGTCGCCCTGTGTCTTTGTCTCCCAGCTTGAGAACTGTACAGTTCAATGCTGTTGTGCTGTAGGGATTTCACTTACTCTTAACTTCCCTCCACCATCTTTCTGTGAAAGATTTCACGGCAAGTTAAGCTACTCAAAGGAAGGAGACCAATTAGGCCGGTTCAGTTTCTGCTATATGTAAAGTAGATGCTTAATAAAATCAAGGATACAATTGAGGCTCTCTTCTCCACTATTTCAGTTGTAGCTAATATATTCCTGTAGACAGACTCAAGGCCTCTGACTCCTCACTTTCTAAAAGGCGTGGAAAGGGCATGGGATAGGACACTCCCCACCCTCTGGCTAGAGCAAGGAGCAAGCTCACCCTGTGTCTTTCTTCCCCTGCAGGGATTGCTTTCTGAAATCCTCCGAAAGGAAGAGGATCCCAAGACTGCATCCCAGTCCTTGCTGGTAAACCTTCGGGCTATGCAGAATTTCTTACAGTTGCCAGAAGCTGAAAGAGACCGGATATACCAGGATGAGAGGGAAAGGAGCTTGAACGCTGCCTCTGCCATGGGTCCTGCACCGCTTCTGAGCACTCCGCCCAGCCGTCCTCCCCAGGTGACCCGCCTCTTCCTTGTAGTTTTTTCTGCTGCCCTAAAAACATTTCATGCCGGGCGGTGGTGGTGCACGCCTTTAATCCTAGCACTTGGGAGGCAGAGCCAGGTGGATCTCTGTGAGTTCGAGGCCAGCCTGGGCTACCAAGTGAGTCCCAGGAAAGGTGCAAAGCTACACAGAGAAACCTTGTCTCGAAAAACAAAAAACAAAAACAAACAAAAAAAATCATTTCATGATTACTCGCAATAAGAAATTGGATAAATAGATACAGATTTTTTAAAGTTCCATAAATTTGCTTGAAAATTTCATCTCAAATCATTAATTTTGATGGAAAACAGTCCGGTTCTAATTAGGAAAAAGAAAACTGCCTTGTGTCGCTCTAAGCCTTTGGGTTCTTGATGGTTGAAGAAGTGACGTAGCTACCTCTACTATTGTTATTACAGATGCATTCTGTTCACCTCAGAACAGAAATAATAAGGCCTGGTTGCTGTCATTAGTTTGAGGACTGCCATTTGAATAGTAAATAAAAAATAAATAAGTAATTTCATTTATATTTATGCTTTCCAATACGGACTGCAGCTGGTACCAATTACATATCATCTCGTTTGTAATCTTTCATAATTAAGTTTAATACAATCCTTGAAGGCAGCTTTAAATGAGACTGATAAAGAATTCTGTCTGAATTCCCAGAAATGGGCACATTTTCATTTTCTTCAAAATGTTCCACTTTTCAGGAAGGAAAAACGAATCTACCTTCCAGTTAACTTTATTGTGCATTGCTGTTTTAAATCAAGTCTTAAACTTACACTACTTATAACTACTGTGAGAAGTCAAGAAGGGAACTCTCAGTGCAAACCGTTAGATGGCAGTTGCACAGCTTGGACTTAGAATCCACAAGCAAATGTATTTTCTCCCATGTTTAGTCTGTGGCAGGTACAACCCGCACAACTAGGATCAGCCTCCGAAGTTGTTTCAGAAGTTGAGTATGGAACGTAAATTCAGAGTATTTGTGGAATATAATGTCATAATCATATGTTGATGATTTCTTTTCATCAATAACCAACAAAAAGTCCATATATTTCTGAGTACAGAAGTATAGGAAAAGCCCATCCAATGGTAAGAAATGAAGTTGTTACAGAATTCTACACATGAGGACCAGACACACTCCAGCTGTTTGTTGAGGTTCTTGAACTGCTGACAGAATGCTCTAAAGAAATTATTTCTAAAATCCGTTTTTAGTGAAAATCAATCTGTCTTAATGTCTGTAGGAGCAGGCTGTGAAGATAATTCTGTTCTTTGAGAAGGGTCACAGTGTTCATACATAAGCTGCCCGGGTACTCATAGATACTGTGTTTGGTTGGTAATCTCATCTATAAAATAGTTCCTAAAATCCGGAGTTAGGAACTCTGTAAATATGTATATGACTTGTGTAGGCTATTATATGAAGAAGTTTAGGACTTTCAGTGTTCCCCACATCCTTACTTTATACAATAACCATCCAGATGGGGATTTTACACTTGGGGGCATTAGCCTGCCCTTACCCTGTCTTGTTCTGAGGTGTTTAAAATACTTCTCTAATAACAATATGACTTTTAGCACTGACTGTCTTCTCTTTTCAGTATGCCCAGTTATTTAATTTAGTGCTTAAACAGCTTTCATTTTGTAGAATTTGGGAAATTTTATTTTCTAAATATGGTTCTGATGATCACGCTAATCCTTATTCATTGACTGTTTTCTGAGCCAAAGTTGTATTAGTTTTTTTTTTTTTTTTTTTTTTTTTTTTTTTTGGTTTTTCGAGACAGGGTTTCTCTGTGTAGCTTTGCGCCTTTCCTGGAACTCACTTGGTAGTCCAGGCTGGCCTCGAACTCACAAAGATCCACCTGGCTCTGCCTCCCGAGTGCTGGGATTAAAGGCGTGCGCCACCACCGCCCGGCTTGTATTAGTTCTTAAGTGATATTTCTTTTCATATTCTTAAGATACTATTCAATAACTTTCCTGTGTGTGTATTTATAAAGACACCATATGTCATGCTATATGGGGTAGAAAACATATGTAATTTACTTTATCCTAAGTTCCAGATTTCCTGGTTGAGACACCCATCACTGTATTTGTTTGTTCTCAAAGGGCGTTAAGACTAACCAGGCTCAATCCCAGCACTCGGGAGGCAGAGGCAGGTGGATCTCTGTGAGTTCGAGGCCAGCCTGGACTACCAAGTGAGTTCCAGGAAAGGTGCAAAGCTACACAGAGAAACCCTGCCTCGAAAAACCAAAAAACAAAAAGACTAACCAGGCTCATAGTTGAGGTGTTCAACCAGTGGTGAACATAGGACGTGGGTAGGTACTGTAGCTCCTTAGTGAAATGCTTCCAGATTTCTCCTAGCGTGGTTTTTTATTGGCTGTCTCACCACATCCAGAGGTGAATGTCTGGTACATGTAGTCTGTGTGTCTTATTTGTTCTTCTGTGAATCCATTTGCATTACTTAATGTTATAACAGTGCTTGCTGCCAATTGGTTACATTCTACCCTTTAAGCAACACTTTAAATTAAAAAAAAAAAAGATCTGTTTATCTCACTGCAAAGTGAGTAGAATTGGGGAAAGCATGCTGTCAGGTTTAGAGAGTTAGAACTGTTTTGAATCAGCAGTTGAAGTTAAAATGGAACCCCCAAGAGAGGTTCATATGCTCACTACAGGTAACTAAACTGTCTCTGTGGTGTTTTCCACAGAGACAGCCTGCAAAACTGTCTTCAGTTTTGTGCATTACCAGAGAAAAGTCTGTGAAATCACTATGTGTTGCATTTCCTGTAAAATAAAGAGATTTGAAACCTGTTTTGAGACAAATCTTGATTTGGACTTGAACTCTGATTCTTCCTGAAAAACAAAACAACCATCCCACCAGAGGTGAAAAGCAGAGGTCCTTGGTGACTCATGGGACACCCCAGACACTTAAGCCTGGGAGACTGGAATCTCTTTCGCTCCTACAGTATGTAGCTCACATTTTGGGAAGATTTCATAGTGTTCCTGGGGCATCCTAGACCAAGGTGCTAAACTATTGAGGGACTTAGATTTGAAGCCATCTTTAACATGAGGCTTCCTTGGGTAGTCTCCAGAAAGATGTCCTACACATGTCTTTCTGGGAGACAGCCCAGCCACAGGAAGCAGCAGAGCCCATGGCTGGCCCAGCCATGGTGCTATGCCCCTAGTGCAGACCTATCTTGGGTAATCCAGTAGAAGCAACCATGATGGCCATTGTCCTCTATCTGGGACTGGGTCAAACCTAATTGTCAGCAGCATATTTTTGTAAGTTCCATGCTGTAATTAGAAAAGGAAAAATAGCTTATGGTTGATGATGGTTCCCAGTTTTCTAAGAACCTTCACATGCATTAATTCATTGAATCCTGATACCAATCTTTTGCTAGGAGAAAAATGAAAAAGCTGAGTGAAAGGTTTTAGTTAAAGTTTTCAAATCCTAATTAAATTTGTTGCATTTTCCTTTACCTCAAGACATCTCATCAAAATACACAATTTTTAGGAGAAGGATGAAAGTCAGAGAAAATGAGAATTTGTGTTGTTAGATTAGGAGGAATGTTCGAAAATATTGTCTGGATGAAGTAAATGTTTTACAAATGATCTATTTGGAATGACTTTTCACAATGATATTTCTGGTATTCTAAAGAACATTCACCTTCAAAACTTTCATCATAAGAAAATACATCTTGGTCTGTCTTAGAGACTTGTTTTCTGGTTACGCTGTGCAAAGTTGCTTAATGATTTTAATAGAGGGATTTTTATAAATAAAAATTAGTGATTATTTCCTGGGGATGATTTGTCCTACAGAAAAGATAGGCTTAAACTAATGCCCTCTACCACAGGCATTTTCCTGTGTTATTTGTGTATTTTTATATATGATGACTTCTGGAGTTAATTTTCCAATTTTAACTTTTATAAGAACTGTTTGACAAGTTGTGGTTTTTAAGTGAATTATACAGTTCTTTAAACTTCTTTTGCATCTCTTCCTGGGATTCTTTAGCTTCTTTCCAGGTAAGTGTGATGCTTCACAGAAATATATTAGAAAATGTACCAAGTCCATATAAGGAAATACATGTACCTTGAGGACCTTGGCTTCAGATCCAGGTATGGGCATGAACTCATCATGTGAGGAGAGTGTTATTTGTGGATTCCTGAGAAAACATTAATGCTTCTCGTTAATGGCCATCTTGTAAAGGTCTAGATTTGGAAAGTAATATTGTTCCTACATAAGAAAGACAGGTCTAAAAAGTTCAAGCCCTGACACTGAAGGCAGTATTATATAGGACTGTTGTCCATCACTCCTAATTATGCCCACAAAATTATTAAGAAGAGGGATAGGCATACCTTGGAAAATAAATTTAGATTAGATTTTTAATGTTAATTATAAAGCCATTAGCTTCTAAAACTTAGAGCTCAATGAGCTAGACTTAGCAAAGGGCTTCCAAAAAGCAGGCCCAGCATGTCTTGGTCTCTAAGAAGTTTTCTAAGCAGACCCCACAGAAGAACATATACCACGTAACTCCTGGTCTTTGAGATAGGAACAGATTTCAGCAAACTCAAGTTCAGAGCTCAGCCTGGAGCAGGAAGCAAGTTACTTCACCTCTGTATAACAACGTTTTCAGTTAAAGTAGAGTAGTAGTCATGGCGCCTACTGTGGGTCGATACATAGTTCAAAGGGTTAATATACATTCACACATAAACCAGACAATAAATACCAGTTTCTATTCTCATAATTACTAAAAGAACATAAAACTTTAATTTTGTGTATGTAAGAACCATATGCTTGTAGGAGCTTTTCCTGCACCAGGTACAGCACATTCAGCCAACCAGACCAAAGGGTGTTAGTCTCATAAGCCCTAAAGTATGATGCATTTAGCAATCAGAGAAGAAGCAAACCAGGATTTTCATGTAAAATGTGTGCTCCGCCGCACAATTTTGTGAAACAAAAAGCAGACCCCAGTGCTGCAGCCTGTCCCTACACGGGAGGGTAAATAGAGGCTCCCATTCTTAACTACTTCCCTGGCGCCACCGTAATAATGGAGTAGTGTGCCCTACCTTGATAAAAGCTATTCCGATTGCAACTGCATTTATTTCACCTCCTGTGCTATTTGTGGAGAAGAGTGAAGAGTAGTTTGTTTTGCCCGGGATGAACTACTTTATGAATTTTAATGGATGATATAATATTAAAAGCTAAACCAGGATTAAAGAAGATTTTTTTTTTGTACTAAGCAAAAATAGTACTTAGTAGAGTGGAATAGAAAAGATTTTTGTTTCCATTTTTTACCTGGGGAAAAAATCAGCTTTCATATTTTGAAAAGCTGGCCAAGTCAGTTCCCCTTAAGCAATAGCTTGTGTTTAGGAAAAAATGTGGTTCTAGAATTCTAATGGCTTATCTGTGATAAGATGCATATCTGGGCCAGCAAGAAGAGCTTTGCTAAATACTTTTTCACTGAGTAATGCGGCCAGGTACTAACTGTATTTTTAAAGTTTTCTCCACATTCTTTTCCTTGGGTGCTTCTCCCCACCGCTCAAACCCCCCTCCCCCAAAGGAAACGAGTATTTAGTTGGTTTTGTGATTTAGGATTCTTGCTTCTTGGTTCACATTGTGATTGCTTTATAGAAAACTTAAAGAAAATTTTAGAAACAGTATCCCAGAAATTTAAACTCTCCAATTTAATTTTTACGAAAGATTGAAAATTGTAAGACCAGGTGAAATCCCAAGTTTTCTAAAACCAGAGTTGTTCCTGTTGCTACACAGATGCTACCAGGAAACTGTTTCTTCTAGTGTGATGGACTTCGGGCCCCATTTCCATAACATTCAATTTTCAAAGCAATTGAAATGGCTTTTCTCTTTCATTTAAGCAGTGAGAAAAATAGGTATTAGAAGGGACCCCATGGGGTGATCAAATCTATCCCTCTGCCTCAGAGCAAGACCACCCCAGAGCAAAGTTTCAAATCTCACCAAAGCAACTTTGTAGGCAATTTATGGTAATGTGTTAACTCTTCTGGCTCCTAAAGTGCTGTTTAGCAGATTATGGCTTCAAAGCCCTGTGCGTTCCTAGTGGCCTCCAGTCTTAATGTACCCCTTGCTGGTCTAGACCCAGAGCTGGAAAAGGAGCCCAGAGATCCTTGCCACTCCCACTGAGAACAGGTGACAGTGTTATCCACCCTGCTGTGCTTACCCTTCCTGAGGTGCAGTCAGCCGATGCTTTCCTTCTGCTGCTGGGGTCTGGTGGAGGGGCTCTCGCTGTGTACCTTTCTCCCAGAAATAAGTCAGGGAAAAATGACTTTGCTTCCAGGCTAGAAGTTCGAAGGACTCAGAAGGTACATTTCATGGGACCTCTGTGTACTTTCAAGAACATAATCTTCTTCAGGGGCAACCTCCGCTCACTTTCATGCAAAGTGGTTTTGGGAACAGTGAAATTAACATGGGACCTACAGGTTGACATTTACTATCTGTGCATTTATCCTTACATGCTTTATTTTTCTGTTTGGTCTGCATAGAGGGCCCTAAGAGAACTCCTTGTTTCCCTTTGCTGAGAAGCATGATCCTGCCTCCAGACTGAGATTTCAATTACATTTTCACCAATTTCCTAGGAAAGATTCAGCTTATTTTTCAGAAGATTATTTTCAAGACCATTTCATATAACTGTATATAATAAAAATTAAAATTGGAATTAAAAAATAATAGTATCAAATTTTAAGGTTGAGACTTGGTTTTCAAACCCCCAGTCTTTGTTGGTTGAGGACATTTTTCTAGCCATCCCTGCTTATCCCCATTATCAAAGGCTTGGTACAAATATTTGAGTGATTATACATTTTGAATATGTTTGTAGAGTCACTAAGGATATATTTTGTGTAACTTACAGAAATGTTCAATTACATTTTAAGAAACATTTTCTTCTTGTCTAGTTCTATAAGTCAAAAGGAAGTCATTCCATAGCAGAATGCCAGGAAAAGATGAAATAATCAGACAGAACAGCTTGGACATCACGTGTGAAAGGCAACCAACCTTTACAATAATTGAGCAAGGCTTTCTACCTGTTCATGGATGGATAGAAGATTTAAATATGCAGTTCTGTAAATGGCTTTATTATGGAAGAATTAGAAATGAAACATAAGAAGGAAAGGCATTTTAAAAAAGTCTGAAATTAAAGAGGCCATAGTATATAACAGCTATCAGTGAGGTAACTGTCTATTAGGCACTGGGCACCCAGCGAAGACACAGCACTGTGCATTATGATTTTAATTGTGAATTTCCTTTGTTAGGGCTGAAATGGGAGGTAATTGGGAGACAATTAGTTTACTGTTTTCAGGTCCTTGAAGCTCCTCTCTTTTCCAGAAAACTTACTTTATGGCATTATTTTTCCTGGTTGTCATCTGGCAGTTGCTGTCATATTACAGATGCAATCACCTGTGACAGTGTGACTTCCTTAACTTAAGCAATCTGATCTCAGGGCAATAATGAATGTTGAATGACCGCACTGTTGATCACCTTGATCATAAAAGGAGTAACGGTGCCCAGCTTGGATGCCCAGCCTGAGAAGCTTTGAATCAATTTGGCTAATGAAAAATGACAGCCATGTTCAAAATGTTTTGTAGGTGAAAACAGCTACTCTTGCCACTGAGAGGAATGGGAAACCAGAGAACAATACTATGAACATTAATGCCTCCATTTATGACGAGATTCAGCAGGAAATGAAGCGTGCTAAAGTGTCCCAAGCACTGTTTGCAAAGGTTGCCGCCACAAAAAGCCAGGTCAGTACCACTATCGGGTATTAGAATGTTTATCTGTGATGTCTGTGACAGTCAACGAAAGACATGTCTGTGTTCAGTGAGTTGGCATTGCTGAGAGGCTGTGGCCTCCAGTACTATGTAGAGAACTCTGTTGCGCAGTAGTGTTGGGATGTAGGTTGTAGACACTGGGTTTCCTGGACCCCCAGCTGCTACTCCTAGACTGAGAATTTCTCGGGGAGTCTCTGAGGCAGTTAATAGTTGCTTTATGAAGTGGACTATCATGTGTACAGTTAATAGGCTGGTGTTTCATAATAGAACATGTAAATTACTGTTGTTTCGTCATTCCTCAGATGACCTTCAATTTTATTTTAAAAATATCATGCAACTTCTTCTGCAACTAGTCTACCGGCTATTAGGTAGTTATTAAAGCACATACACCATTGCACACTAGTGATTTTAATTTTTCTGTAGTTGCACACAAGATAAATTGAACTATACCACACTCAGAAAACTTGTCCAACTCTGATAACTGCATAGCGTTAAACAGGAAGTCACAATGGCTGATCATAGAACCTATTACCAGACCTCTTATTTAAATAAGACTTTCATATGTTGATAATTGTTTACTAGAATCATCTGGTAGAACAAACTCACAATTGTCTATTAGCCCTTCACCAGAGCCAGGAATACTTTTTAAAAGCTTAGAATACAAAACTCTTTCACAAAAGGACTTAGTAACACTCTGGTGGGACTTAGAGGCACACAAGGGCTTGGGTGAGATTTGAATAACTTGAAATGTTACACAATTCTATTTTCATAATCGTTGGATGCTCTTTTTATAACATCCTAATTGTTGTCGATTTGTGATAAAATATACAATTCCAGGAGTACTTACAGCATGAAAATGTATAGCATAGTACTTTTTGGCTTTTCCTAAAATTTTACTCTGTCTGTATTAATAATGGTACTTAATTGGGGTTTTACTTTAGGAACATGTTGCTCCTGTTTAAGTTGTAGGCCGGATGAATACTTAAGGGATATCTTGGAAATGTTATATAAAAATGATTAAACTCAAGCTGTGGACTGTAAAAAATTATAGCTTTATAGGCCGCATGCCTGCCTTACCCTTCAATCACTGTCAAAGTGATAATTTCTACAATAATATGTTTCTTTTATTGTGAGATTCTAAACATCAAGTACTGTTTAAACATTAAACTGAATTGTTTATGTTAGTGCTGTACTCAGCATGTCATACATCAGGCCACCGTAATCTCTCATGGAATGTAAAATTCTGTCATGAATCATGGCTTACATATCGGAAATTACTGTAATTTTGATTGGAAATTACAGGGCTCTTGAAATGTTTCTAATTATGATAGAATGTTAGAACCGCTTCAAACCTGTGTGCTTCTTCAGATGTCTTCATTTACATGCCAAGACTACGCGTTAAGGAGAAATGTCCTGTCTCACTCTACCCACCCACCCGGCACATTCTTGTTTTGACTACTTAGTCTAATTATGATGAGGATCTCTTATTTAAATATATATTATTTTGCCTTTCTTTCTGATCCTACACCCCCTACCCCACCCTGGCCTGTCCAATTACATAATAGACTGCCTTCCTACAAAGGCCAGGCTCTTTCTCCAAATCTCCAAAATGGAGGAGCTGTGTACACATTATTATAATCAGGTCAGCCATGAAACAAAACAAACAAAAATTAATATTGAAGCTTTTCAATGCTTATCATTTAGCTGCCTGGCACCTGTCCTTTAACTCCATCTACTACTCCTGCCCCTTCCCATTTCCTTTCTGATGAGTGCCTAGCTACCCAGGGCTCGACTCTTTCTTAAGTGGTAGCAGAGACTCCCCACTTTTGGTCTGAGTTACTGATTTAGGAACCACATTGGCTAACTGAGGTCTGTTTGATGTTCTTTGGCGTTTCTAAGCATCCTTGTCATTTTTACCCAGTCCTGTGTTGAACCTCAAGTCTACATTTCCGTAATTTTGGTGAATAGCTTCTAAGTGTCTCCCATATCCGTGTCCTAAGATTACCCTAGACGTATACTCTTCTTATTAGTGGATGAAGAAACTCCAAGGAGCCAGGTAGAGGCTGTAGGCCAAGTGGTCATCTGGCTTTCATCCCCTTGAATAGCTATTCCCAATCACTAATGTATTCTACTTCCTTCAGCATTTTTGTAGATTTTTCTTAGTTATTCAGTTGAGGTGTTCTACTGCCCTCTTTGTGAAAACACATACAGAGATATAGGGATTACCCAGGAGTGAGAGTCCAGAGACTGTGTGTATCATGACAGGAAATCTGACCCACACAGGTGGCTGCTGAATTTAGGTTTTGTTCTTCTACTCTCATGTTTCATGAAGGAAACACAAAAGCTAACGGAAAGTCTTCAAAACTGACCTTTACATGGTAAAAATTTATAACTTCTAAGATAATCGTTTACATCTCAGACAAGTGATCTAGGGCTCATCAGAAGGAAATCACATTCCTCCAAGTGGGGTGTGTATAAAAATAATATATGCATATAAGCCTTTAAGTTACAGAGTGCTAGACACAAATGGACAGCATTTATGATGTGCTCAGTAAGAGATTCAGTCCTCTCCATGCAGAAAAAATGATTTATTTTATCTTGTATTTATGTGTTTGGAATACCTTCCATTTTAAAAGGAAAGCATGCTCTAGTGACTAATGCATGAAGTATTTTGTCTACAAGGAGCCTACTCATATTGAATCTGCCTTTTAGCCAGTACTACATCATCTCATCTCTTTGAATAATAGAAATGAGATTGTTTTAACTCTAAAAGAAATGTCTAAATGAAATATGCAGGTGAAGACTGGAGGTAGGCTACTCTTGTGCTTGATTAGAAAAGCCAGCTCCCACAAACTGGTGTTCCTTGAATATAATTCGAATAGCTACAAGAATACAGCTTCTATTTGGAACATTCAAATAAGCAGCAGTTTTTCCAGGTGAGTCAAATTGGAATTTTATCAAACATTTAGTCTGATAACATTCAAATTATTATGGGAGCAGGATTTGCTAATTTTACTGTTTAAAAAAAAATAGTTGATTTGGGTAATAACCATTACCATGTCAAGGCTCGGTTACTGTTCATTGGCTTCAGTGTTTTCATATGGGAGATGGAAGTGGAGTTTTTTTCTTAATAGTGGCAGATGTTAGAATCTAATTTTATTCCACAGAAACCCCCTGGAGAGCTCTGAGACTTCAGGTGTGTGTCCAGCAAGGGGACATTAACAGCACCATAGGCCTTGCCTTGTACATGAAATTTTTACATTGATTTTGTGTTTGTAGAGTGGAGCCTGCAGACCCAGCTGCATGGGCAGATTCAGGGGCTTCTGTAGTGTCTCTATCCTCATCAGGAAATGATTCCTCTTGCTTGCTTCACAGGTCAGGGTATTTCTAGGTACAGCAGGGAGCCAGTGCCGTTACATTTGACCAGACATGCTTGCAGTGTGATCTTTTTCAATCTCCGCAGGGAGAGAACGTTGGCTACCGTGGGTTGGGCTGAATTAATAAGTAGAGTTTATTTTCATTTTTTATTTTTTAAACACACACAAAAGAGGATTTTTACTTAAAAATAGCATGACTTGTAGAATAGAGCAGACAATTAAAAGACATTTTTGTTGCTTCTGTCAATTTCAGAAACTCTTGTCTGTGAAATGCAGGGCTGTAGTATGCATGAGAGGGACTCAGGTCTTCAGTGTTCCTTGGGTTTAAAAGAAATCAAGCATCACTCTGACTTGTAGGTTTGGTTAGTTGAGATGTCTTAAGTATAATCAAACTGTCACACATCAGTGGGGCTAGAACTAGGGCTAAAACATGTAGTGTATAAAAGAATTTATAGTAACAACAGCTAGAAGTAAAACCAGGGAATCTGTGATGCTGTATCCTGCCATGTCAGGGAAGGCACCGCCAGTTTTATTCAAGAAGATGTGCTGGGTAGAAAGAAGCTGGGTGCTAATTCATTCTTTTAGAATGTTCACGTCACAGACTTGGCTGTGGCACGATTTCACCTGTGCAGACTCTTATTTAAGGCAGTCAGGAGGCCCCACAGACGTGTGAGTCACAGTCTCTCTTACTCTGATGCTACATCTCTCGGCAGTCTGTGAGATTCCTGTGCTGTGTCCTCAGAGCCCATCTCCTAGATGCGCAGAGGCTCCTTGGTGGGGGCTATTCCTTTGCAAGCTGTACCTCGTCCTTTCCAGCTGGGTAGAGCCAGACTGGTCATTGGCAGCTCAGGGATCTGCTTGCCTGAAGGAGGAAGGGCAAGAGGTCATGGATGAGAACAAAGGAGAAGGAAGCGCGCGCATGCACAAGCCCTCCCTGTAGCTCCCCTCTCACCCCTGCAAGCTTGACTTGAGCACATGCGACAAAGCCCTGCACTGGATCCTTGAATGGGAAGGAGGGTTCACTGGTCTCCTCTTTAGGGTGTTGTTGGTAACAGTTGGTGAAAATGTCATGGGTGTTAGTACTGGGAATCCATATTGTTATTCTTTTCCAGAACATTGATCTCTCTGTCCATCTCTAGTTGAATACTAAACCAGCCTATTGGAACCGCTGGCTTTAAATACCAACTCCTCTTGTCATATGGCGGGCAGCCCATCATTGCTTGCCAGATGATGGTTTTCAGGACTAGTTAAATTTGTGGATCTAAGTAGGATTAGATTTCTATGCTCTGAAACAAGCACATGTTTTGGTAAGTCTAAGGTTTGATCTCCCAGGTCCAGCCTTAATTAAGTGTGCACTTGCCCATTTTTTTGGCTAAAAAGTGCTGTAAAAGAAATTTTACCCCATAAGTACTAAGTCAAACCAAAGACCTTTGGCTCTCTTGTTACTATTTTCAAATGATTTAAAAAAAATCTCACTTTTTAACCTCTAAAGTTGATTAACTGAAAGTCATAAATATATTATTTTTTTTGCAACCAGCTTATTAGGTTTAATGGTTACAAATACAGTTGGAATTCATTGAGCACACTTTCTCCATT